AGATAGTTTTGAAAATTTCTTCGAATGTAATAACTTCTTCAGAAGATTCATTAATTTCATTAGAGTCAGAAATGTTACCGTATTGGCGCGTAATAACGCACATGGGCGTTATTTCGAAACTCTCATTTTTTTGAAAATTGTTTTTTTGCTCAAAATAACGCCCATGCGCGTCCCAAAATAACGCGCCACCTTAAATGTACCATATTACATATTTTCAAGCCAAGTCCATTAATAAAAGTAGGGCTTCCTTCTGTAGCCCAAATTTGACAAAATGATTCGAATTACCGCGCATGCGCGTCCCAAAATAACGCGCAGGGTCTCGAAATAACGCGCAGATGCGCGTTATTACGCGCGCCAATACGGTAAAGTTAGAAATATTAGGATCAGATATGTTTCGTCTTTTGTTAGAAGTATATGACACACTTATGACCGAAAACTAGTGGAAAGTGATCACGTTGGTGAAGTGACTAATTCTAGTCATAATATGGAAATTGACATCAAAAGAATACTCTCGTGGATTATCAAAGGTCTGCTGAAATGGATCGTGCCAATAAAATTGAGACAAAAAATATAATCATAAGGCATTCGTTTCACATCAAAAGTTAACGGAAAGGAGTAATGTCGACGGAACATACAAGGCAGAATACTGCTACAGAAGCAATGTAGAAAAAGAAACAGATACCTCGATAGTCGAAGGCGTTTTGAGTAAGTATGAAGAGCCACATCAACAACAAAAAGAAACTTACTATCGAACGAACAAACTCGAGGTACCAACTGCTAACATGAATAATGCCTAAGCATTTGAATGAAGTATGGAACACACTAAAGTGATGAAAGTTGAGAAGAACCAGTATGAGGCACTTGCAATTCGGCAAAAGCACACTAACTTGGATAACCTTGTTGGAACACTTGATATTGGCCATTGTTATGAAAGCAGAAACGAAATGAGCAAGGACAATAAATATGAAATGCACCTAAATAGTTCCAAGGATGCCGAGTCCTATAATAATGCTAATGACGATGAAAAGTCTTGGTATTTGTGTAGCGACAAATTTCCTGAAGATTGGTTAAACCCGAACGAACATAGAAATCTTATCAATACCGAACCAGCCCAAAAACTTACTATTAATAATGCTAGCAGAAGGATTGTAACTCCTAATAAAGCCGAAGAGGTTCAAATAAGTCTAGGAATTGTCAGATGCATAAAATTAGTGTTAAACAATATAAACACCAAGCACCTAAGTATCAACAATCAACGAAGAAAGTCAAACCCCGGACTAAACCTAGCGAAAATATAGCTATCAAAACAAACAGAAAAAGAATTGACAATCCAACCCCACGTAGATTTGCTGTATTTAATCTCAGTGTCTACTCGTGCTAATGGTAACTAAGAGTGTGCTAGAAAATGAACGCACGGCATTCACTCATTATCAGAAATCTGCTAACGTGGGTGATAAAATAGCAATGAGTAGTGTCGCTCGACTGTATTAAAACGATATTGATACAAAAAGAGATGTTCAGAAGAGAATATTGGATGATGAAAGATCTAAATTATCTTGGATTGATTATAAGTTCAGAGGTATCGTAGAATTAGGACTTACAATTGTTTCGATAGAATTAATGGTGCGTGGTGCAATGTTGCACTTAAAGTAATTCATGTTTCAAACAAAAATGAGCAAGAATTTATCCAAGAATTGAAGAATTACTACGAAATTGGTTACGAAAATCTTTTATTCTTGAATTGTTTTAGACACTTGATAATCTTCCCAAACAAAAAAAATGGCTTCAAAGTATTGAACCGAATTTTAAACCTATTCAAAAAAATGGTAGATGAAATTTAAGATTTGAACAAGTAATGAATGTAACAAAATACCTTTTATTAGTAGCATAAAAAATTCAAATTTGAAGCTTTATACGTGTATTAAATAAAATTTGAATTTGAATGTAAATGTATTCTATACCTTTGAATTGAGTGTAATTTGACCTATAACTTGTAGTTATAATTAAATAAATTCTAAGAAGTTGAATAAATATAATAAAAAAAAACTTCGATTATTTCTTCAAAAATCTTGTGATCTCGTGATTCCATTATTTTTGTGCGTAGATTGAAATTTAAAAGCGATTACGTAACTGATTTTGGCGGCGATACTAGGCGCGTTAGGGAAAACCTGTTGTCGGCTTTCAATTATATTTTGTACCGGACATAATCTACTAAATTTATTAGAGAATATGTCCGGTACAAAATATAACTAAAAGCCTGATGGCAGGTTTTCCTTTGGCGGTACTCATATAACATAGCTAATGCGAATTAGATCAATATTACTTCATTTTTTTCTATTTGCATACTAGAATTAGTAATTGATGAATATTAATGCATATATTCGATTATATTAAGAAATTCAAACGTATTTATGTAGTAAAGTTGTAACTTCATTAACCCAAATCTCGCACTTCATTTTCAACTTGATACCTAACTACCTACTTAGCCTCCCCAGCCTACCAGAGCCTGAATAGCAAAATTTTGACAACTACACTTCTACTAACCCTTACCTCAAGACAGACTCAGTCAAAAATCCTACTATTACTACATCTAATGACCCCAACAATGAATAACCATAACAACCTACCACAGGGTTCTCTGCCATTTAACCAAATATCCAACCCACACCTCATTTAAATCCTCATACTACAACTAGCCTGCATATTTTAAATCACAACATACAGGGCCTCAACCAAGCACTAAAACTACAACTTATCCTCAAACACTGTCACTCAAATGAAATTAATATCACTTTCCTCACAGAAACAAAGCTTGCCGCATCTTCCAATAATCCCACATCACTTTCCAACTCTTTGTACAAGATTTACACAGCAAATTGTAATCAAACCAATACAAACATTCAAGAGTCTAGTAAAGGAGTAGCAATTGCACTCAAGCCCACACTGCAACCTTATATTCATAAAATCAACTTACTACCAGGAATCACTCTATCAATAGATCTTTATCTCCCAGCCAACAAAATATGACTAATTGCCATATACCTCCTATCACTGATTACACCACATATCCAAACTGCCCAATAATAATTAATTTCTTGAACCCAGAACACCCGATCATGCAATATGAACCTTATTATTAGAGGAGACTTTAACTGCAACACCCAACAGAACAACTACTACAAGCACAACCCTTTTCTTTAATACCTGATCAATACAGGACTAATAAACCTACTACAACTAATCATATTACTAACCCCACCTGGAGCAAAAACCAATCTCATAGCCAAATTGATAATATTTAGGTCAACCCTAAAATAGTACTTGCCTTTCATACCCTCCTATTTACTAACTCCTTTACAATCACCAATAGCAACCACCAAATTATTACAACAGCTTGGTACACTACTTCAATCCACAAACAACTCCATCAAAAAAAGCAATACTAGAAAATCTACAACTACAACTATATGACTCAAAAACTATGGAATAATTTTACAGTATATATAACCAACCACCTAAGAGCCACAACTCACTACCAACAACTGATTAAAAATATCAAACAACTAAACAAAACTTTTAATAACTTTAACAATATAGTAAAACAGGCTGCAGATAAATATATTTTCCACACCTTTACCAGCCCACGCATCTTCTATGCACATTCACTTAAGGCTAGCTCTTTACACCAGGCACTCAAACACATCAACAACATTCTGCAAATACTTACTTGATCTATCTCTTTTCATCCATAACACCTAATACTCATTATCAACCAACTTCTTAACAAAATTAATACACTTACTCAAATTACTAGTCAATCCTTGTCTTCTCAAAAACTCACAACCCACACCTTTCCTGCCACTAAAACCCAACTCACACAATTATAAAAAACACTATTCAATGTGAGAAATATCAAAAACAACAACTCAAAAAAAAGAACAAATCTAAACATTTATTAATAGATATTATACCAACTTCCAAGAGAACACTACAAAGATGATCAATAGCGTTCTGCACAGAAACTGCATCCCAACAACCTTCTATAACATGCTAACACCCTCTTCTATCCTAACTATTCCCCAAGAAATAAAAAAAGTAACTGTACAACATTTTTAGAACTGGACCAGATCCAATCCCTATGATGACACACTATGGCATGAATGAAAACAGGACTACAAACCAACCACCCAAGTTACCAAAGACATGTATTCTACACTGCTTGCACATATTGAAACTAGTAAAATCCAAAAAACTATTGTTGCAATACCAAATAACAAAGCTACTAGACACTCTGCCATTGCTAACGAAATGCTAAAAAAACTTCCCTTTATAGCTATTTTTTTATTTGAAAAAATTTTTAATACCTGCATATCCCATAAACAATACCCTCTGCTTGGCACAAAGGTCTTATATAGCCTATACTAAAAAAGGGCTACTACTCAGGAGATCTCTTAAAAACTCACCCCATCACACTCATTGAGCATATTTGAAAAGTCTTCACAAAGATACTTACAACACAGCTTAATACAATCCTACTATGAAATGACCTCCTTGATCTAGCAAATAACATAGCACTTATACTAAAATCATCTCTACAACCTATACAATGCATTACATCTACAAGAAGATGTATATATAAATAAGAAGGAACTTTGGATATTATCACAAGACATATCCAAAGCCTATGACATTATATATCTGCCACTACTCCAAAAAGCACTTCATAGGCTCAGCATACCATCACAATTTATTAACCTAATAACGAATATCTTCAGCTCTCAGCAAAATCAGATTATTACAACTCTGGGCAAAACACAACTCTACAACGTAGAAGATAGAATAGACCAAGGCAATATGATCTCTCCTATACTCTGGCACATATACTATAACCCTCTAATTTGTCATATCTTCAATTTGACATTTGGCTACACTATATCAGCGCCTACCTGTTTTCAATAAAACACTTACCTCAACTACCAACATAATTGCCTACATAGATGATACCACATGGGTAGCTTCTAGCCATATATCACTTGAACAAATCCTCAATATTGCTTCCTCCTTTTATCATATGGCTAAAATCATAGTCAACTCTTATAAGTCAATATTCTTTTATAATCACCAAATGATACAAATCCTCTACTCTTCTAAGATCAACCCATATACAACCTTTAATCTAAACTAACCTTCAGATTTCTAGAAACTTATATTGATCACACAATTGATAACCACTATGTTATTAAAAAGCTTAAACAAAAATTTTGTACAGAATTAAACAAACCGAAGTACTCCAAAATCACTAAAAAACAAGCTATTAACATCATCAACTCAGTTCTACTAGCCTGACTACGATACCAACTCTCCAACACTTACTTTACCTCAATCCACTGCCAATCTTTAACACGCCGATACTCATCGATATAAAACAAAAAGCCTCTCTAGCTTGTGGCATCACCAATTCTCTCCTATTTCACCCAAACACTTATGCCCTAATCAATACACACCAACTGCAACAAAAGCATCATGCGTCAATTCTTGAAAACTTGCTTAATTCACCCATATCCTGAGCAACCTTCAAACCATGTCTTTAACAACTCCAAAATGATGTATTTACTAATACATCTATACTTACTAAACAACTAACTTTTACTTATAAAAAATATCAAACATTTACAGCCCATCTTATTATTAATATTCACCAACTCAACATCCAATACACAAATACCAACATCAGCCTAATCCTTTTCTCAACATCTGGACACTCCATAAACTCTGTAGTCCACTATCTAAAGAACTGTATCTGCATAAAACACTGTTTAAATCAACACCAAATCTCTGCAATAGAACAATTCACCAACCATGACAATACTCAAACCCTAAACTGAAAAAATTTCTACTACAATATACTCAAAATACCTCATAGTTGCTACCCTAAGTAGTTTACACTAATTCAAGAAACTCTGAGTGAACTCACCTCATCTTCCTTTGAACTTACCACTCCTAATACTTTCACTTGGACCCTTGCAGGAACTCAAAACAATGCATAATCACTACAAATCATACTTTTAGCAAAATCACTTCATCAAAAGATAATCTTTTCAAAATTCAACATTGGAGTTTGAATATTACAATGAATATATTATCTCCTTGTACCCTATACCCATGTTATGACTACACAACATGCAATACACACTGCTTATTTTGAACACCCAAATCATCTACCTACCAAATCCAAGTATTGTCAAAATATATCTGGCACGGCACACTCCCTAATTTCCAAAAATCTACTCTATCTATGCATAACAATTAACTTACACAATATATACTAAGAAACTATCTTTATACCTTTAAAATAAAACAAGCCCTCAATGAATATGCCAAAAACATCTGGACCACATATTTGACATTCTCAAACCACACATCTTCTACAACAAATCTAACAATTACAACTTAGAAAAAACATACATCTTCACTGACTGCAATCCTTACTTTCTCTAACTACACAACCAGAATAGTCATACAAAATAAAACATGGCCCAGCTTAGCAAAAGTTGCAATCTCAGCCCTTTATATACTCCTCACAATCAGCCCTACTTATGTACAGCTAAACCTTACTACAAACTCTACTACTATAATAAAACTATTATCTATGCTAACCAATACCTCTTTAAAAACAGCTTATACTATCTAAAAAAATGCAAATACTGGTCTTCTAATCATGTGTCATGCAGCAATACATGCAAAATATATTACTATCCAAGTTATACACCCACGTTCAACCAACTCAATACGCCCCTAGACAACATTATTTACACTAAAATTGACCCCTCAATATTAATAAACAACACCTACCTCCTTCACTTCGATTACTAACTTGCATTAGATGATCTAAAATCTCTAATAAAAAACTCCATGCTGCAACCAACATTAATTCCTAGAACTCCCAAAACTGAATCCAGGCATGAATTTCATTTACACATGGGATCAAACAGAATTCAATCTTTCTATACTTTGAACTCAATGACAAGCCACTCCAATAGTTTACAAATCCCAAAATATCCAAAATAAAAAACTTTAAATTCAAAATCCTAATGAACGAATTACCCAACCAACTCAACCTATTCAAATGCCACCTCTAAAACACACCTCACACCTATGTAAACAATGCAACACAGAAATCAAAAATGATACACATTGGCTTACATGCCCAAATATTGCTACTACTCTAACACAACTTCTTAGTGACATCACAAATAGCTTCCTTTGAAAGCATTGTCTCCCACCTGCTAACACCATAAACTTCATTCAAGCCTTTCTCCGAACTCATATTACTAACCTAACACCTATTGGCATAATTACAAATGATACACTAACACCTACTAGCTGCTACAGCAAGGCTGTTTTCTTAGCCCCCAAGCTCCACCACACAATTATTACTAAAATACATAAATCAATATTGATTCTGAGTAGAATAGCAATCAACAACAATAATAATACCCATAATAGTAGTACAAATACACCTGCATATTCCAATCTAAACATAACAAACTCTAATCCCATTAACCCCAATACCAATAGCAAATTTTATTTTTGGCAAAACTCTTACATTAAATTTAACACTCCACATACTTGATTTGTAGTCTAGAGGTCTTTCGACCTACCTAGCTAAGATTAAGGTCTAGAGTAAAGTAGCTCTATTCCCACTTCCCCTAAAAAGTTATGTAAACTTATTTTGTAAAATCTGCATAATAAATAATAAAGGAACTAAGGAAAAGACCTCACTTAAAAAAAAAAAAAATAAAAAAAAAAAATGAAAAGAAAGTTTGATAAGTATTGGAATAAAATAACTAATCATGTTATAATTACACATGTGCTTGATCCAAAATACAAGACTGAACATTTGAAGGCAATATTAATTGAGGTCAGTGAATACAGTGAATTGGCTGCAGAACAATTTGTTGATAATATTTGACAAATAATAATTCAATATAGTGCAAGATATATAAATACCAATATACAATCATCCTTTGTTGAAGTTGTTGGTGTTAATTATAACAATTCATCATTTCCTAAAAGATGAATGTTGAAAAGATCTTCCTATAATATTAATATGGTTGGTCATGAATTAATATTGTATGAAAGAGAACCTCCTGAAGAAATTAAAAATAATAAAGATAATAGACTTTCCTGTTGGAAATCATTATCAAAAAGATTTCCAATTCACAGTAATATGGCACGTGATTATCTCAGCATTCAGCCCTCAAGTGTTGCTAGTGAAAGAGCATTTTCAAGAGCAGGCTTTACGGTCACACATAATAGAGCAAATCTTAGTGAAAAAACTGTTTCCTCTACAATTCTTATGTGCTCTTGGCTTTTAGAAAGCCAAAATAAATTTGGTCCTCTTCATGCTCTTCCAGAAACAGAATAATTACATGCTATTGTATATAAATTTAGAAGTTTGAAATTAAAAAATTAATGCTTTTGCTTAAATTCAAAAAAATGTAACGGTAAAAGGAGTAATTCCTTTTATATCAGTATATAATTCATATGCAATAAATAATCAGCAGTTGTAACACAAAGTAGACTACTATGTAATACAAAGCTTTTTCAAAAAAAATAATTATGTAATACTGCATAGTTTGTGCGCTAAATACTGAAATAGAAAATATGATTGTTTGACCCATTGATAATTCTGCTCACACTAAAAAATATAAAACCTTAATTACAAAAATATGTCATAATATTCAACAGGTAACGATTTGGCTAGATGGGATATGAATATTTTCTGAAATAAGGATAAATATTGAAATAAATATACACGATCACATACTGTACATCACAATACTTAATTGACCTTAAAACATCGCATAGTTCTCAGAATTTAATGGACCTGTTGGAAGAGTTAAGATATAAAACAAAGCCTACATTTATTTTATTGTTATTATTTGTATATATATTTTTATGTACTTGTAAATTATATTTATCTCTTTAAGATCTATATAAAAGATAACAAATTTTAAGTATATGGGTTAAAACACAGCTAATGAATATTTGGTGGTATTCGACGAATTGGAGATATTGTAATAAAAAATGTGTACATTGTAATTGATATAATGTATTTAAAGCTTAGTTAGTGCTACCCCGTAGAATGGCTCAAAGATGAATGAGTGGAAGTAAGAATATTGATGGTTGCATCAACTTAAAACTACAGAATATAAGAATGTGATTGAGTGGATTCTTTTAATAAATTAGACAATATTCAAAAAAATTGGAGATGAATATTTAACAACTTGGTTAAATGGATGCGAATGAGGATATTAAATGCACATAATCATATACACCACCATATATATAATTAAATGCACCATGATACCCGACTCTCCCTTATATACAGTAAAATAAACAAGTCAATCAGATTATTTAAGCTAAGTATTCATTTCTTATTTTGTTTAATTTCTTTATATCTTGATTAATTTTGTTATTATTTGTTTTGTAAATATAGCACTTGATAATTATTGATTAAAGGTATTTAAGATCACTTCTCATGTTTCTTATTTAACCTCTTACTTTTTATGATACGACCAGTGTTGGGCAAATTAGTGGTCAACCAAAAATTTACTGGTCAAATTGGTCTGGTCAAATTGGTCAAATGGTCGAACTGGTCAGATTGGTCAAATCTATTATACAAATATAATATATATATTATATAATAAAATTATATTTAAATATACTATTTGTCCAATTTGACCAGCACAGATCCTTTGACCAGACCGGTCAAATTGGTCCAGTCCAATGGTCAAACTGGTCTGGTCAAGCCAACACTGGATACGAACTCTCAATGTACTGATGTATATTAGACCCAGGACCTACGAAAGGGTTTAAGAATTAGTGAAACGAAATAGACTCTATGCGCTTTTATATTTAATATATAAAATTTATATTTGGCCGCATATATAGGAACTAGGACATACTATGTATTAAAACATATATAGAACCCATGACCGTATCTGTCATTATGCTTTAATAAGCCATTTTTAAGAAATTGGCACTGGCACCATCAATTGCATTAGTGTCATAGGAAGACATTTATATGGTTGGTTGATTTTTGTAGTTCTACCCGTGATTTCCCGCGATAATTAACCAATCAAATGCATAATTTTTAATTAATACTACGATATTAGAAAACGAAAGAAACTTCGTATAAA